TTAAGGTGTAACATTAGTTATTTACCTGGGATTTTTCTTGTTTCTTGAGATAGGCCTGTAATGATATAAATTTCCCTCTTAAAACTGCTTTTGCTGCATCCCCAAAATTTTGATAGGATGTATTTTAATTCTCATTTGTTTTTATGTATCTTTTGATCTCTCCTCTTATTTCTTTTTTGACCTAGTCATTCTTTAAAAGTATGTTGTTTAATCTCTACATATTTGTGGTTTTTCCTGCTTTCTTTTTGCAGTTGGTATCCAATTTTAAAGCCTTGTGATCAGAGAATATGCTTGGTATGATTTCAATCTTCTTAAATTTGCTGAGGCTAGTTTTATGTTCCAATATATGGTCTATCCTTGAGAATGTTCCATGTACACTAGAAAAGAATGTATAGTCTGATATTCTAGGATGAAGTGCTCTATAAATGTCAATGATGCCCATTTCATCTAATGTGTCATTTAGGGCTGATATTTCTTTATTTATTTTCTGTTTGGGTGATCTATCCATAGCTGTCAATGATGTATTTAGGTCCCCTACTATAATTGTGTTTTGGTCAATTTCTCCCTTTAGTTCTGTTAGTAGTTGCTTTGTATATTTCGGTGCTCCCTGACTGGGGGCATAAATATTGATGACTGTTATGTCTTCTTGTTGTATAGTTCTTTTTATCATTATGAAATATCCATCTTTGTCTCTTGTTAACTTTTTTATCTTGAAGTCTGTTTCACCTGATATCAGTATGGCTATACCTGATTTTCTCTGAATACCATTTGCTTGGAGTATCAATTTCTACCCTTTCACATTGAGTCTATATTTGTGCTTGTAGCTGAGATGTGTCTCTTGGAGGCAGCACATGGTTGGGTTTAGTTTTTGGATCCAATTTGCTACTCTGTGTCTTTTTATTGGTGAGTTCAGTCCATTTACATTTAGGGTGATTATTGATATATGAGGATTTCCTATCATTCTATCTTTGGTTTTCTGGTAGGATGGTGTCTCCATTGTTTCTTTGCCTTTTTGTTGCTGTCTGCTATTTCAGTCTGGTGGTATTCCATGACTTTCCCCTCTGTTTCTTTTTTTTATGTTATATATTTCAGTGTGGGATTTTTTTTTGAGTGGTTACCATTACGTTTATGTAAAAGAAATTTTTATATTTAGAGTATTCCGTTTTCTTCAGCATGCTTCCTTTCTCCATTCCCTTGTGCCAGTTCAGACCTTTGCTCTCTCCCTTTTCATGTTATTGTTGTCACAAATTATCCCTATTTATGCTGAGTTGGTTTCTGTGCTGCAGTAGCCAGTTGTCTTTTTCTTCTTTTTTTTTCTTCTTTACCTGTATGTTATGTTTAAGTGTATAGTGTCTTATTTAGTGTAGAGGTTGCCATTTTCTGCTTCTGTCTGTCTGTTCATAATATTACTCATGGTTTTGTATTCTTTTGCTTTTTTGTTTCATTTCGAATAGCCTCCTTCAGTATTTCTTGTAGTGCGGGTCATGTGTTAGAAAATTTCCTCAGCTTCTGTATATCTGGAAAGGTTTTTATTCCTCCTTCATATCTCAAGGATATCTTTGCTGGATATATCATCCTTGGCTTGTAATTTCTCTCTTTCAATAATAGTTTGAATATTTGATACCACTCCCTTCTGGCTTGTAGAGTTTCTGTTCAAAAATCTGATGATAATCTAATGGGCTTTCCTTTGTAGGTTACCATCTTCTTTTCCCTGGCTGCTTTGAGGATCCTTTCTGTGTCGTTAACTTTTGACAGCTTCAATACAATGTGCCTTGGAGAAGGCCTGTTGGGATTGAGGTAATTAGGTGTTCTATTTGCTTCTTGGATTCGAGGATCCAGTTCTTCCCACAAGTCTGGGAAATTCTCCTCGACTATTTGTTTGCATATACTCTCTGTTCCCTTCTCCCTTTCTTCTGCTTCTGGTATACAGATTATTCTTATATTGCTCTTTCTGATGGAGTCAGAAAGGTCTTGTAGAGTTCTTTCATTTCTTTTAACTCTCAAGTCTCTCTCTTCTTCAATCTGTGCCATTTCCAGATTTCTATGTTCAATGTCACTGATTCTTTCCTCCATCTGTTCAGCTCTATTACCTAAACTGGCTATTTCATTCTTCATTTCTTTTATTGAGTTCTTAATCTCCAGAAATTCTATTTGTTTTTTTTAAAATTTCAATCTCTGGTAAAATGTTAATTTTGTTCTTTGAGTGTGCTCAGTTCATTAAACTTTCTGTCTGTGTTTTCTTGCATTTCATTGAGTTTTTTAAGAACTGCTATCTTGAATTCTCTGTCATTAAAGTCACAAATTTGCATGTCTTTTTATTATTATTATTATTATTTTCAGGTGAACAAAACAATGCAATAGTTATCCTTTTCACTCCTCACAAAGTGACAACGCTGCTTCCTCCATCCACTGTCCCTGACCCCTGATATCATACATAGGTATTACAATTCCATTCACTTCATTCCCACACTATACCCCACATCCCATGTCTATGTGTGTATTAACTTACAGTTGACATATATTATTTAACTGCAACTTCAGATGTACAGTGCGGTGGTCAGGCCTCTACACCGTCCATGAAATGGTCTCCCCAACAAGACATGAGTCCATCTGGTCCCCTAAAAAATATTTACAACATTATTGGTTATATTCCCCAAACTGTCTTTTCTATCCTCGAGGCAATCTTGTAGTTACCAATTTCTGTTGTCTTGTCCCTTCCCCTTCTCCCTCATCCCAACCCCCATCCCGGCTAGCAATCATCAGTTTTTCCTCTGTGTCTCTGAGACTATTTCTGTTTATATTACTCATTTATTCAGTTCTTTAGATTCCACATATAAGTGAGATCGTATGGTATTTGTCTTTCTCTGGCTGACTTATTTCACTTAGCATAATGTTCTCTAGGTCCATCCATATTGTTGCAAATGGTATGATTTCATTCTTTATAGCTGAGTAATACTCCATTGTGTAAATGTACCACAGTTTCTTAATCCAGTCATCTACCGATGGGCATTTTGGTTGTTTCCAAGTCTTGGCTATTGTAAATAGTGCTGCAATGGNCCCTTCATCTTGCCTCTGTACAGGTACCAGGAGAACGATTCAGATGGATCACACCTTTTTCCCTGGCTATAGAAAGACCCTGCTACGTCCAGAGGAGATACTGCTTTCCATCGAGATCCCTTACAGCAGGGAGGTAAGATGCAATGCTCGAGTCACGCCTACCCCTGCCAGGCTCCAGACATGGAAACCAGAGTTGGCTTCAGGACCATCCTTAGCATCTCTCAACTTGAACATTGATGGTCTTGTCTCTGAAATTTGCCTTTGACCAACCATATTCTTCTCTGGACAATGAGGAGTTTCAGGGTAGGGGACACAGGGCATGGATAATGAAGCTAGACAGCTAGATGTGTGACACTGAGTGAGTCATTTCACCTTTCAGAGCCCAAATTTCTTCATCTATAAAATGGGCACGATGCTACTTACTGGGCAGGTTATTGTGAGGACTGAAAAAAAATTCATAAGGTTCCTGGCAGATGCCTGGGTGCCAGTGGAGATCACCAGCAACACAGTTTCAAGAACACGTCCAGTTGTGGCGTATTCCTGCCCAGGTCAGAGAAGAATTGGTTTCATATGATGAAGTGTGTGGTTTGCACGCTAAGTGGACCAGCTGCCTGTAAGTCAGATTCCCACACGCTGACCTTAAGCTGGACAAGGCATGTATGCACTGACCTTGCCCTGGGCGGGCATGGATGAAGATTTTTGCTTCTTGAGCAGGTTTTCTGGCTTGTTCGGGCAGATCTTGGTGCCTCTGGTTGCTTTGCTGTTGTTCGTTGGGGCCTGTGGTGGGTTCACCTGGTGTGGTTCTCTCCTCCCTCAGCAGTTACACATTTCATGATGGGCCTTTTAGAAAAGTGATCTGTGAGAGGCAGGAAACCAGATATAAAGGATCCTATTAAGGGTTTGCCAGAGCTAATGCTTGAGTAAGTGTTTCAGGGCATGTTTTGCCCTTGCTAATTTTGACCTCTTGAATGAGAATGCTAATTAAATTAGAGCAATTACATCCCTGAGGTGGTTTCTTAATGATTTTCTAGCTTTTCTTTATAGATCATTTTGAGCAGTGATTCCCAGAGTTTTGTACTTAACAGATAGTTAAAAAAAAACAAAAACGACTATTCAATTATGAGATTGGGAAAGGAGGAAGAAACAGGCACAGTACTGCCCAGTGTTTATTTTGCCAGGCAGGGACATTAACAAAAAACATTTCATAAAAGAAAGGAGATTCAATATCAAGAACTAGGAAGGATTTTTCAAGAAACAAGTTGATGACCTGACACTGACATTTCATGGCACCCCAGTGAAAAGGTCACTGTGGACAAGTTCAAATTCTGGGCTCATTGCCCCAGGGCCATGTTTGACACCAGTAATCTGAACTAGCTTTATCATCAGGAGGGGTCTTGATGGCTTCATCAGACAAATGCCTGTGGCCATTTTGATCCTCAGCAGCAGGTCCCATTCTGCTGTTGTTTCCTTAAACCTCCTACCTTTAGTGTGAATCAGAATTTGTGGTGCCAGGGTGAGTTCAAAGCTGAAGCAGAACCTAACACAGAAAGGGCTTGACGTCAGATGGTTCTTTCCTGGAAAGTAAATCATGCTCTCTTCCTATCCCCAAAGACAGGCTAGTCTGGCTGGGACGCAGGAGGAAATGTATGGTCAAAGCATAAAGGCAGCTATTGTCTGATAGTGCGATTCGTTCTGTCAGGAAGCAAGATTTCTAACCGTAGCCAATAGACTGGTGGGAGAGACAAGTTAGAGCATCTGCTAGGTCACAAGCTGAAGATGTGTGTCAAGCACCCTTTGGCATCTTGGTTTTTCTACTTAAGAGGCAGCCAGGCCAACAGAGGTTTGGGCANGAAGAGCTGGTCCCACTGTGGACTTAAAGCAAGGGCAATGGGAATGGCATTGGGAGGACAGAGGCAGCACATTAAAAAAACTGCATTTTCCAGAGGCTGAAAGATGCTCCTCAGAAGCAGCTGCGTTTTGAAGGGGAACGTGTGACCTGGATCCAGGCCCCAACCCTGAAGGAGCTGCTGAACCTCAAAGCACAGCACCCCGAGGCCAAGCTGGTGGTGGGGAACACAGAGATTGGTAAGGGCCAGGGTAGCCCTGGGGCCTGCCTGGAGGCCCCACTAAAGAGCCCCAGACACTTGAATTCCTGCAAAACCCCCAGCTTTGGAGTCACAGAGATCTTGTTCATTCCCTTGCTGGCTGCGTGTCTTCAGAAAAATTACTTCTCCTCCCTACCCTCACGATCCCATTTCATATATGAGTTAATTTCTCCTCCTCCTCCAAGGGTTGCTCAGAGTGTTAACTGAGATCCTTGCTGACTTTCCCTGTAAACATTTACAGAGTGCCAGCTCTGTGTCAGGTACTCTGGAGGGGCTGGGGTGCCAAGATCAATTAGACAAGATTCCTCCCCTCACGGAATGGCCCAGTCTAAGTGAGGAGGCAGCAATGTAAGTAGAATCCATGGCATGCCTGATGGACGTGAGGGGTTCAGTAAATGCCACTCTCTTCTCCAGCCTTCTCTGGGGGTGTTGTGGTAAGGCAAAGGAGAAGAGATGTCCAAGTGTGACTTTTTGTGTTGCCTATGACCATGGCCACCTGCCCTGTTGTTGCCACCACCTGGGACATGCATATTGTTATGCAAACAGGTCAGAGAGACTGGAGTTGTGTAGCTGTTGGTCCTGTTGCTCAAAAGACAGGAGGTGGCAGAGGTGCTCAGGTCCCTGCTAATTTCAATCCATTTCTCAACCTGGCTTGGCCAGTTTCCACTTTGCTGGGTCCCAAGCCCAGTGAGAACTGAAGGAGAAGATTTTGATACAGCCGAGGCCCACCATAGAGGACCTCTGCTTTGTGGGGGACTTGACATTCTTTTAAGCAGCCAAGTCTAGCCTATGGGAGCTTCCTGGCCCTGGTCATGGAAGGAGCCTCTTAGGCCTGGGTTCTGGTTGAATGCAGCCACAGACAGGAGAGCCTGGCTCAGTTCCGTGCTGGTGGAGTACATATCCGGCCATGCCCTTGTGAGCACAGAGTCCCCAGCCACAGTTTTGTGACACACTGGGATGGCAGGGTGGCCTGCCTCAAATGATGTGATCCTGATGGCCCATGTAGCCATGGTTCAAAGGTCCAGGGTAGGTAGCATGAGTTAAATTACAGAATGATCAGCTAAAGAAGTATTTGCGATCCTTTGACGTATGACATATTCTTTGCCATGAGTCATACAATACCCTGGATTCAGTTAGATTGTAAGAGAAAGGAATTCACAAAGGTTTTATAAGCTCCAAGTTAGAAATAATTTCTTACTACTACTCCATCTGCTCCACCTCGTCCTCCCTTATACACCCAGCCAACAGTGTTACCACCCACAGCTGGGGCAGGGTGTTATGGGAAGCTGCCTCTGGAGGGGACCTTATTAAGACAGAAACTCACTACCTCCATCTGTGTTCTTTGTGCTGGGAGCTGATATTCGGACAAGCCCGACTGGCCAAAGCCTGGGCCATGCTTCAGAAATCCTAAACAGCATGTGCGATGATGTGGGACTATGCGCAGCCATTTCTCTTTTAACCTTTTCCATCTATCGCCCTGTGGGCAGGGCTGGGAGAGGTGCTGTGTAGCTGGGTCTGAGGATCAGAGGCAAGTCTGGTCACAGAGCTTTCTACCTTGATTAGCAGATTGGAAGTTTCCTCTTAGTCAATTTTCCTTTTTTTTTGTCTGAATGTTATACTTTCATGTTATTATTTCTATTCCACCCTGACTTGAATAATAGCTTAAGTCCTGAAATGTGCCATTCTTATCTATGTAATTTGAGTAAGAACCTTAACCTCCCTGTCTCAGTTGCTTAATCTATAAACAGAACAAACCCACAGTATGTCATAGGGCTGTTGTGAGAATTAAATGAGTTAAAATATATTATATAAAGTGCTTAGGAGGGTTACTAACATATTTCAATGTCCTGTGTTTTCTAATATTATTGCACACACACACACACACACACACACACACACACACACATACACACATACACAGAGCAGCCTTGGGCTGATCGTGTGGTCGCTACAGTTAATCCTGCATTTTGTCCACTGCTTTTCCTTGTCCCAAAACACCCAGAGCATGTTGTGATTGTGAGTACGTCACACACCCTGTGCATGGTGGTGGGAAGAAATGCTGAGGCTGCCCTGGTGACAGGACAGCAGCCTCTAGTTTCAGGCTTCCTGTTTCTCTCGAGGCATCGAGATGAAGTTTAAGAACAAGCTGTTTCCTGTGATCATCTGCCCAGCCTGGATTCCAGAGCTGAATTCAGTGGAGCATGGACCGGAGGGTAAGGGGGGGTTCACCTGAACCCACAAAGGGGCTGGGATGCTGAGGACGGACGGGTCATGGGGAGAAGCGGGTGGCGGGTGGCAGGTCAGCCTCTTTGGCTCTCACTGCCGCATGCTTGCCCTGGAGGTGCCCTGCACAGAGGAAGGGGCATCCTTCATTGTCTTCCTCCATTGAACATGCATGGCAGGTGCCAGTGGGTGAGGGCTGTGAGATGTTCTAAGGTTGTTGTTCTCAATCCCATGTACATATTAGAGTTGCTTATGTGGGTAGGGGACAGGTGGGGAGTGCTTGGTTGCTTTTTATTTTGTAAAAAGCCAGGACTTCATTTTCAGAGATCTGATTTTGAGTTGAAATCCACTGGTTTAAAGGAAAAAGCACTCTGGTTGTAGGACAAGAGGCCCAGGGTTGTGTCCTGACTCTTTCATTAGCTGTGTGGTGTTGGACAAGTCACTTAACCTTTCTGGGACTTACTTTCCTCATCCATGTCAGTCCTGGTGCAGCCTCACTAGGTGCTGTAAAGCTTCAGAGGAGCTGTACATGAAAGTGTTTTCTGAGCTGTGAAGGAGTTGCTGTTATTCTGATGCGTGTTCCCAGGTATCACCTTTGGAGCTGCTTGCACCCTGAGCTCTATGGAAAAGACCCTGCAAGATGCTGTTGCCAACCTTCCTGAGCAGAAAACAGAGGTGTTCAAAGGCATCCTGGAGCAGCTGCGCTGGTTTGGTGGGATGCAAGTCAAGTCTTTGGGGGTGAGTCCCTGTTCAGGGACTCGCGATGTCCTGGGGAGAGAACCTGTCATCACAAGTCAGGGGGGTAATCTGGCCTCCACTACAGACCCTGTGAGCTTCAGACATTAGTGCTTAGGACTGCCTGGGGTGTTCATTAAAATGCAGATTTCTGGGCCCCATCCTCAGAGATTCTGGTTCAGTAGGGCTGGGGTGGAGCGCCGCAGGTGCTTGTGATGGAGGTGGTCTGCAGGCCAGTCCAAAAACTACTCACTCTGTGATAGTCTTTCTCCTCCTGCACCCCCTTCCTGAACTTGGCCGAGGCTCTCAGCAAATGGATGGGACATAAGTTAGGGAAAAGCCAAAATAGGGAGGGGGACTGCCCTTCAGAGTGGGAAAGAACCTGAGGTAGCTTCCCTGAGTGGAGGGAGGGGTCCACCTGTTGACTGTCACAATCAGTCTTCAGACTAGTCCTCAAATTCCCAGCTTCAGGTGGCATCCACACACCTGATGCCATTTGAGGCTTACAAGAGTTGATAGCATTGGGAGGAAAGCTATCCCTTCCATTTTATTTTTAAAAATTAAAACAAACCTGAAATAGAGCAAAAGAGCCTACTCCCATTCTCCACCCTCTACCCCAATCACCTGCCACTTCTCATTGTAGATGAGGAGATCTCAACTTAGAAATCTCTGCGGAGTTCCAAGCTTGTCTGGAATCTATTAGGTTGGTGCAAATGTAATTGAGGGTTTTTTTTTATTGCTTGTTGTTTATTTTATATGTATGTTAGACTGTGGAAATGATGTTAGACAAAAAGCAAATTTGAGCAATTTTCTTATTTGAGTTCAAAATGGGTCATAAAGCAGTGGAGACAACTCGCAACATCAACAAAGCATTTAGTCCAGGAACTGCTAATGAATGTACAGTGCTGTGGTGGTTCAAGAAGTCTTGCAAAACAGATGAGAGCCTTGAAGATGAGAAGTATAGTGGCCGGCCATTGGCAGTTGACAATGATCAATTAAGAGCAATTATCGAAGCGAATCCTTTTACAATACTACACGAGAAATTGCTGAAGAACTCAATATCGACCATTCTATGGTTTTTTGGCATTTGAAGCAAATTGGAAAGGTGAAAAAGCTTGATAAGGGGGTGCCTCATGAGCTGACGGCAAATAACAAAAACCGTCATTTTGATGTGTTGTCTTCTCTTATTCTACACAACAACAATGAACCATTTCACAATCGGATTGTGACATGCGACGAAAAGTGGATTTTTATGACAACTGGTGATGATCAGCTCAGTGGTTGGACCTAGAAGAAGCTCCTAAGTACTTCCCAAACCCAAACTTGCACCACAAAAAGGTCGTGGTCGCTGTTTGGTGATCTGCTGCCGGTCTGATCCACTATAGCTTTCTGAATCCCAGTGAAACCATTACATCTGAGAAGTATGCTCAGCAAATCGATGAGCTGCACCGAAAACTGCAACACCTGCAGCCGGCAGTGGTCAACAGAAAGGGCCCAATTCTTCTCCATGACAACGCCCGAACGCACGTCACACAAATTATGCTTCAAAAGTTGAATGAATTGGGCTACAAAGTTTTGCCTCATCCACCATATTGATCTGACCGCTCGCCAACTGACTACCACTTCTTTAAGCATCTCGACAACTTTTTGCAGGGAAAACACTTCCACAACCAGCAGGATGCAGAAAATGCATTCCAAGAGTTTGTCAAATCCTGAAGCACAGATTTTATGCTACAGGAATAAACAAAATTATTTCTCATTGGCAAAACATGTTGATTGTAATTTTTCCTAGTTTGATTAATAAAGATGTGTGTGAGCCACGTTATAATGATTTAAAATTCACGGTCCAAAACCGCAATTACTTTTGCACCAACCGAATACTTCCATGTAGAATTTGTTCTCATTGTGCAACTGGTTTTGTTTCTCTTTTCTAATAATTAGAACCATGTATCTCTTTCTCCTTACATTCTTTGCTAAACTGCCAGGAAGCTCAGATCCAATTAGAGCAAATTGTCCATCCTTAAAGCTTTCTCCCCTTTTTCCTTGACTTTTATCTTCTAGTTCTGTTTTACTAACTCTATATGGCCTCTGGAATAAACCACTTTAACCCTTTCAGAATAAGTTTGGGTGAAATTAAACAAACAAATCTGAAGGGGCAGACCCAGTTTACTGACCAGTGAATTTCAGAGCTGGAACCCATTTCCAAACATTCAGGTCTCAAGTTTTGCACATTGTTCTGAGTTTCTCACTGTGCCAGTCTTGTGTCTACAAGGGCTACAGGTCCTCAGGTCTCTCTCACGCAGGTGTCATCCTGCTGTCCTGTGTCCAGGAGCCAGCTGGGTGAGCAAGGCTTTCCTGGGTGGGCTCTCACACACACTGTCTGCTTGTCCTAGTCCATTGGAGGGAACATCATCACCGCCAGCCCCATCTCCGACCTCAACCCGGTGTTCATGGCCAGCGGGGCCAAGCTGACTGTCGTGTCCAGAGGTGAGCTATCTCATGCAGAGGTCAGGAAAGAAGGCCTGGGGGAGAAAAGTCTCACGACATAGGTCACTTTCCGGAGAAACAGAGGGCAAAGTTCAATGACCCAGCTGTCCTAAGGTTTGAATTCCTGGAATCTATAAGGAAGATGCACCCAGGTTGGGGGCCAGGAGAGCTGAGTCATTTCTTTACTAAGAATTCACAACAGGCCTGAAGAATTCACCAGATGCCTTACCTAGTCGGGTGCTGGAGTCAGAATATACCAGCTCACCACAGCTGATGGGTGGATTTTCAGGGAGCCTATGAGCATTTGTTAGACAGGGCCATTAGTAAAGATTAAATTATATAAACTTACAGTGAGATAAGTTACATTAAAAACAAAATAATAAACACTCAAAATTCTCCACTTCCTAATTACTTCACTTCATTTTACAGTTGTCTAAGCTCTTGAGATTCCTTCTATCTATTGTATCTGTAGAGGAGAAATGCTATATAATAGATGCTTGGTGCATCTTTTCTTGTCAGAGGGTCCTCAACACCTCCCCATGTTTGATGACTTGCTAGAAGAATTCACAGAACTCAGCAGATGTTTGTACTCATGGCTACGACTTATGGTGGAATGTACAAAACAAAATCAGTGAAGGGAAAAGGCACATGGGGCAAAGTCCAGAGAGAGACACATGTTTCCAGAGTCTTCTCCCAGTGGAGTCACACAGGATGCACTTAATTCTCCTAGTAACAGTGAACTTGACAACACATAAGAAGTTTCATTCTATCAGGGGAGCTCCTCAGAGACTCAGCACTTAGAGCTTTTATTGGAGGCTGGTCACATAGCTCTGCTTGGCATGTACCAATGCCCAGAAGGAAAGCAGGTGTTCTACATAAACCATGTTGTTTGTACAAAGAGTTTAGGCCCAGCGAGCCCTTTTTATCAGGGAATGGTATGAACCCTTCTGAGAGCCAGTTCCCAGAGGACAGCCAATGGCCAGCCTCACAAACAGGGCTTTCAGAGGAGAGCAGACCTGCTGTGTCCACTTTGTGACACTCTTTCCAACTTCACATTTAGTGATGTCAGTCTGGTAGCTTGAGTTGGCTATGGTGGGAGCATTTATATCACAGAAACTAGCAAATCAGGGTTTTTCCCCCCTCAAGGAACTGATTGTTAAACACTCACCACACACCATTGTTTAAGGATTTCAGATGGGGACCTTGGCCCCAGCTGTACCATCCATTCCCTCTGACTGTGGGCATGAGAGACCAGGATGGAGAAGCCCGCTGGTGGGTCATCCTGTGCTCTCTCACATTGATCCCCCTTCATCTTGCCTCTGTACAGGTACCAGGAGAACGATTCAGATGGATCACACCTTTTTCCCTGGCTACAGAAAGACCCTGCTACGTCCAGAGGAGATACTGCTTTCCATCGAGATCCCTTACAGCAGGGAGGTAAGATGCAATGCTCGAGTCACGCCTACCCCTGCCAGGCTCCAGACATGGAAACCAGAGTTGGCTTCAGGACCATCCTTAGCATCTCTCAACTTGAACATTGATGGTCTTGTCTCTGAAATTTGCCTTTGACCAACCATATTCTTCTCTGGACAATGAGGAGTTTCAGGGTAGGGGACACAGGGCATGGATAATGAAGCTAGACAGCTAGATGTGTGACACTGAGTGAGTCATTTCACCTTTCAGAGCCCAAATTTCTTCATCTATAAAATGGGCACGATGCTACTTACTGGGCAGGTTATTGTGAGGACTGAAAAAAAATTCATAAGGTTCCTGGCAGATGCCTGGGTGCCAGTGGAGATCACCAGCAACACAGTTTCAAGAACACGTCCAGTTGTGGCGTATTCCTGCCCAGGTCAGAGAAGAATTGGTTTCATATGATGAAGTGTGTGGTTTGCACGCTAAGTGGACCAGCTGCCTGTAAGTCAGATTCCCACACGCTGACCTTAAGCTGGACAAGGCATGTATGCACTGACCTTGCCCTGGGCGGGCATGGATGAAGATTTTTGCTTCTTGAGCAGGTTTTCTGGCTTGTTTGGGTAGATCTTGGTGCCTCTGGTTGCTTTGCTGTTGTTCGTTGGGGCCTGTGGTGGGTTCACCTGGTGTGGTTCTCTCCTCCCTCAGCAGTTACACATTTCATGATGGGCCTTTTAGAAAAGTGATCTGTGAGAGGCAGGAAACCAGATATAAAGGATCCTATTAAGGGTTTGCCAGAGCTAATGCTTGAGTAAGTGTTTCAGGGCATGTTTTGCCCTTGCTAATTTTGACCTCTTGAATGAGAATGCTAATTAAATTAGAGCAATTACATCCCTGAGGTGGTTTCTTAATGATTTTCTAGCTTTTCTTTATAGATCATTTTGAGCAGTGATTCCCAGAGTTTTGTA